TCTATGATTTATCTCAATTGAAGATTATTTTGCTATCTGGAGAGATTGGAGATAAGAAGAGAAGAATCTCTTGGTTTTCAATACAACAGGTTATGGTCTCCTTATTCCTTCTACATTGAAATATGGAGAATTCTACTTGCCCAAGTACAAAAAAATCCATTAAATATATGTTCTACCTATCAGAACAGACAATTTCACTATCATCACTACATGATACGAGCTGCCATTTATCCAGTCTTCTCTAATTGTCCCCTCATCACTACGTTGCTCTTTCTAAAACTGAAATCATCAATTTTAAGTAACCTCACTGTGAGTAACTAGTTTTTGTATCAGTTGACTACTGGATCAAAATGCTACCTACTGAACCATCCTGAAACTCATTGGCTTAAAACAATAGTTTATTTCTATTTCTGAGGATTAGTCAGAAATGCCTTTAATTTATGGGTGTTGTTTTTATATCCTACTACAATCTATGTAATGAAAATTACAGAACGCTAAATAAAGAAATCAAAGAAGACCTTAGAAGATGGAAAGATCTACCTTGCTTTTGTATAAGCAGAATACAACCAGAGACCCTACATCTACTAGAAGAAAATGTAGGCCCTAATCTCCATCATGTGGGAGTAGGCCCCAACTTCCTTAATAAGACTCCTGTGGCACAAGAATTACAATCAAGAATAAATAAATGGTATGCAGTTTCTTCTCAGCAAAAGAAACAATCTGTGAGGTGAATAGAGAAACTACATCATGGGAGCAAATCTTTACCCCTCACAAATCAGATAGAGCACTAATCACTAGGGTATATAAAGAACAACAACAACAAAAAAAACTAGATACACACACAAAAAAACAAGTAACCCAATCAATAAATGGACCAAAGACCTGAAGAGACACTTCTCAGAAGATGATGTACAATCAATCAACAAACACATGAAAAAATGTTCATCATCACTGGCAATTAGAGAAATGCAAATCAAAACAACTCTAAGATTTCATCTCACTCCAGTCAGAATGGCAGTTATTATGCATACAAACAACAATAAGTGTTGACGAGGATGTGAGGGAAAAGGCACAATCATACACTGCTGGTGGGACTGCAAATTGGTGCAGCCAATATGGAAAGCAGTATGGAGATTTCTTGGAAAATTGGAAATGAAACCACCATTTGACCCAACTATCCTTCTCCTAGGTCTATACCCAAATGACTTAAAAGCAGCATACTACAGGGACACAGACACATCAATGTTTATAGCAGCACAATTCACAATAGCTAAATTGTGGAACCAACCTAGATGCCCTTCAATAGATGAATGGATTAAAAAAATGTGGTATATATGCACAATAGAATATTACTCAGCAATAAAATAGAATAAAATCATGGCATTTGCAGATAGATGGATAAAATTAGAGAAGATAATGCTAAGTGAAGTTAGCCAATCCCAAAAAACCAAATGCCAAATGTTTTCCTTGATATAAGGAGGCTGATTCATAGTGGGATCGGAAGAGGAAGCATGGGAGGAATAGACAAACTCTAGTTAGGGCAGAGGGGTGGGAGGGGAAGAGAGGGAGCATGGGGTAATTAATGATGGCTTACTGTGATGATCATTAGTATCCAAAGTACATATATGAAGACATGGATTGGTGTAAATATACTATGTGTACAACCAGAGATATGGAAAATTGTGCTCTATATATGTAATAAAAATTTTAATTTATTCACTGTTTTATGTATATATAAAAATAGTTTATTTCCAGGAAATGTAGCTTTTCTTGGATCAACTGATACAGGCCTGGTTCAGCGAGGATGATTCAAACCTATACCACATGTCTCTAATTCTTTTCTTAGAGCAGAAGTTTTGTTCAGAAATGTCATCCTCATGGAAAAATCAGGGCCACAAGAAGAAAAGCCAAACACAGCAATTTTTAAATTTCTTTGTTTTTAATGAAATAACATCTAATTAATATCACACGGGCAAAAAATAAGTCACACGGCAAAACTCATAGTCAACAGGTGGGGAAACACATTTCTCTTTGTTGTATGTACCACCAAGTCACATGGTAAGAAGAGCAGCTACATAGGTTGGGTGAAGAATCAAGGCCAGTAATGTAGTCTAATATAGTGACTTTGGTTAGAGAAATAAGTTGAGTAGTAATGAGCAGAATCAGATCACAAGATGTTAAGGGGGAAAAAAAGAAAGAAATTGTAAGTAAAAAATGAAGATGACATTAATTCATAGAACTATGGATTTCTAAGGTAAAAAGGAAGAATGTGGGTTATTTAGTAAAACCTATTATTTTAAAGTTAAATTTCTTTCTACAAGAGCTTCAGAAAATATGCCTCGTGTTACGTCCTGAATGCCTGGATTATAAAGAATCTTACCACCAGTCCTGCTTACTATACTATATGTTATGAAAAATTGACATTCTTCATACATCCTTTGAAATAATTTCTGAAACAATATCCCCTGATGTTTCATTACTAAGGGTATAGAAACAATTCTACTGACATGTTTCTATCACTATTTGTTATTAGTTTTGTTCTTTATGACAAGGCAGAATAACACTATTCTTTTACTTGGAAGATAGTATTGTAAATATTTGAAGTCACCATGATACCCATCCCCCAAATGACTCACCTCCAACCTAGCTCTACTAAGTTTCATTGACAATGTCCATTAAACATAAAACTGAGGGTATGCATATATCTAATTATCTAAGTTATTTTTTTCTAAGTTGATTTTTTTCATTGGAACATGCTACTATTTTATACATGGCATGTTAGCAAAATGATCATATAATGAAGAACTCAACAAAGGTTCGTTCATTTGGATTTGGTAGTGAATCGTGGCTGTTACATAAGTGGATAATTGTGTACAGATAATTATTCTCTGAATACACTTTGGAAATAAATGCTCCTGAAACACATTTTTTTATCATTACCAGTGACTTCCATAAACATTTTAAAAATTTGTTAATGCAATCATTTGATGACATTAAATTGAATACAGCTGCCTGTAACTCAGGATAAAAGATAATTCAAATTAATACTTGATTAATTAGAAAAATAGTTAATCATGGAAAGGATAAAGTTCTCTAGGGATAGCCTTTGCATTGGAGAGTTTGAGGCCACTGGAGGGAGAAAAGACAGAAGTCTGATTAGATATAAGTATAGGGTAAGGATGATGGGCTTCACAAGGTGGGTCACAGGCTATTAAGGATCCAGTGCCGTTAGTGGCTTATTATTAATTATTAATAGGTTATAATGGATAATTAATGCTAATGAGTAATAATATTACTCATAAATACAAGAGAGGAACTGCAAACAATAAGGCTGACTTGTGGAAGAGCAAAGGCTGGAGATAGAGTTGGCAGACAATACTGTTACAATGGTGTTCATATTTGATGTTGATGCTTGCTTTAATTTTATATTATGTTGCTTATTCAGCTGGACAAGGAGATTTTTAAGCAAACTGAGCTCCATTGTGTACTTTTTCATGAATTATCTAAACATATCCATTTATATTCAAAGAATATAAGATAGTTTAATAGAGGAGAAAGAGACAAAAACCAGATCCATATTTTTTAATATTATGAAAAGAAAAAAAAAATCACTCAAGACTGCTTACCAAAAAGCCAAGCTCTTTTCAGATTCCCATTAGTGTCTGCATGGGATTCAGCCAATGGAATATTTAATATTAATTTTATTTCTTAAGAAGGCTATGGATTTTTTTTTATAAGGAAATAGTACAAGTGTGAATATGCTGGCTACATTTGATACTTTTTTCCTGCAAGAAGGAATTTAGTGCCAGTAATTGACTGACATGCACACTGCCTTCGTTTCTCAGAAACACAAGAGATGCCCCAGCCCAATCCCTTCATATTCTGGATGTTGTTTCATCTAATGTAAAATCCAACTGGGGCCTTATTATGAACACTCATCACGTTTTGATTCCATTTATTTATGCTAATGTATTCCAAGGCCTCGTGTTCGTCATCTTTTCAAAATGGATTATTTCTAGTGGACTGCTAGGAGTGAGAAAGGAAAAGAGAGAAAAAGCCAGGTGTCACATACATCTTAGGCCTCAGAAAGAGGCGGATAGGGAGAGTCATCGCCTAGTGAAATACAATGCAGTGATTCCTTGGCATGAGCACCTTTAGCATTACATGGATTTAACTATTCTCAGGCAACCCCAAGGATATCTCACGGTTAATCTGTGGTAATTTTGCCAGAGATGTAAATTTGAATCATGGGATTGGTGATTAGGGCCTACCTTCTGAAACAAACTCTTCCGGGTCAATATGGTGATCCAAAATATCATGTTTTCGTGAAGATGGTCAGAAAAATATCAAGTAATTTACCAGTGGGTCCCTCAGCCCTTACCCAGCACATGCTCTAGAGTTTAAGGGAGTAAAAGAATGTATGTTTGTATAGTTATAACTGTGACTATTTAAAACATGAGGATTTATTATTAGATGTATCTAATATTTACTACTAGATGTATCTAATGGTTATCAGCGCACCTTCAGATTTCCATTCTGTAAAATGTGATCAAAGACAGATGTGGGGGTACACATCTGTAATTCCAGGGGCTGAGGATTCTGAGGAGAATTGCAGATTCAAAGCCAGCTTCAGCAATTTAGTGAGGCCCCAAGCAATTTAGCGAGACCCTGTCTCAAAACATAAAAAGAGCTGTGAATGTGCCTCAGTGGTTAAGTGCCCCTGTGTTCAGTCCTTGGAACCTAAATTAAATTAAATTAAGGTTTGTTAGTTATTTGAGAATTTGGTGACATATTTACAGTCTGGCACATTGCTTGACACATAGTAGTTGTCTGCTTGGTAAATAGGGACAGTATTAATAGTATGTTATTTCCTTGTCTCCAGAGTTAAATGTGTGTGTGTGTGTGTGTACATGCGTGTGTAGAGTTTATATTTATATTCATATCTATATCTATATATATTTATATCTATCTACACCTGGTTTTTAAAATTATGATTCCAGGGAAATAAAGTGACCCTGGATCTCACAGTGACCAGTGACATTCTCTGGGCCAATTGATTTACATTTGCAGCATGTCATTTCCCAGGTGAGTGATTTGAGTGAACTAATTTTTTCTAGGACTTAGTTTTCTCATCTTTAAAATAGAGATAATAATGAACACCTGCCTCATTAAGTTCTAGGAAAAGGTGAATTGCCATTTAGATTTAAATATTTATAGTAGTGCTTGCTTGGCCTGTTGCAAATGCTTTGTAAATGTCAGCAATTGTTCTGAGTAATAGATTACAAAGCTCATATCACCTTTGCATATGATAGTAAAACCAGCCTGAGCTATTTTGATGGAAATATGCTATTGGGGAGACCACACAAGAACTGATGTTGGAAAATACTGAGATTAAAATCAGTGATGGTAGAGAGAAGTAGTTTAGATTCAGACATGTCTTAAAAGTAGACA